TAAAAACAAAAAATTATTTAGGCATTATTTTTATGCAGAAAATAATATTCTTAGCTGAAGGATTAAAAAGTATTTTGTCTTTAAAGGGTAAATTGTAAGGAAATTGTTTAAAATGTTAAGTATGATTGAAAAATAAGAACTATCAGATAGAAATTAAACAGGTTCTTTTCAAATAGAAAAGTTATCTCCAAAATTTAAATAACTTCATTATCAATATGAAAATGCAGGCATATGATAAGGGATATCTCCCACTGAGCCCTTTTTGATGTCATAACAGATTGTTGGCTATGCTCTATCTTTGAGGATTTCCTATACAAGTCTCTGATTTCAACTCATTAATCAAAAGGCTTGTATGAGGTTGAAATATATTTTCAGGGAAAAATCTCAGAAATGGGTTTGTTATTCTGCATGCAGAAAACATTATTATAGTTCCATGTTTCCTGAACTCCAGGTAGGCTTCGGAGTTCGATACTTTTAAGCATTAATATGTTATTTAAAGCAAGTTTTTATTTATAAAGCAATATTTAAGAAACTCAGACTTACTGAATCTTTTTGGGTCCATTTGCCTCATTACAGATCATCTTTAGCTACTGATACATAAGAATGAAAAACAAGGGAAGAGTATGTCTGTCTTCATTTAATAAGTTTAATGAGTACTTCCATTTTTACTATAATTGACAAACGAGAAAGGATGGATGCATGAGAAGAAGGAAGGATGGTGGTTTAGTTCTTGAATTTAAATTTTTACGGTGAACATGGAATTCTTATTTCCAGTACATCTTCATTATTCAGCTACAGATACATTTATGTTCATAATTGGCAAAGTTTAACCATTACACAATATTTTAGTGGATTGTTGTTTATATATGTTATTCTGGTTTTGGGGCTGAGCAGCAAAAGCATGGAAAAGGATGTCTGTCTTGTAGCTGTTAAAAGGCGGTGATACAAAGTAGATAAATAAGATATTGAATTCAGGTTGATGGTATTGCTTTCATTTAAAAAATTATTGAAATATAATTGATTTACAGTGTTGGGTTAGTGTCAGATATACAGCAAAATGATTCAGTTATATATGTGTGTGTGTGTGTGTGTGTGTGTGTATTCGTTTTTAGAGTCTTTTCCATTATAGGTTGCTGCAAGTTACTGAGTACAGTCCCCTCTGCTATACAATAGTAGATCCTTGTTGATTATCTGTTATATATATAATAGTGTTCTTGTTTCTTTCTAATTGAAGGATAATTACTTTAAAATGTTGTAGGTTTCTGCCATCAAACAAAGTGAATCAGCGACAAGTATACCTATATGAAGGCTTCCCAGGTGGCACTCGTGGTAAAGAACACACCTGCTAATGCAGGAGACTTAAGAACTGCAGGTTTGACCCCTGGGTCAGGAGGATCCCCTGGAGGAGGGCATGGCAACCCACTCCAGTGTTCCTGGCTGGAAAATCCCATCGACAGAGGAGCCTGGAGGGCTACAGTCCATAGGGTCTCAAAGGACTGAAGTGACTTAGCATGCACACACACATGCATGTAACCCTCCTTGTAGAACCTCCCTCCTATCCCACTCACCCCCAATTTCACCCCTCTAAGTCATCACAGAGCATCAGACTAAGCTCGTTGTGTTATATAGCAACTCCCCACTAGCTATCTATTTACATATGGTAATATATACATTTCCCTGCAACTCTTTCAATTTGTCCCACCCTCTCCTTCCCCCTCTGTGTCCTTAAGCGTATTCTCTACATCTGCATCTCTATTCTTGCTCTGCAAATAGGTTCATCAGTACCATATTTTTAGATTCCATATATACATGTTAGTAGTGTGATTTTAATCCCCAACTCCTAATTTATCCCTCTTCCTTATTTCCCCTTTGGTAGCCATAAATCTGTTTTCTATGTCTATGAGTCTACTTCTGTTTTCTACATAAATTTATTTGTATCAGTTCTAAGATTCCACATACAAGCAATATTATATGATATTTGCCTGACACTTCACTTAGTATGATATTCTCTAGATCCATTCATGTTACTGCAAATAATGTTATTTCATTCTTTTTTATGGCTGAGTAATATTCCATTGTATGTATGTACCACATCTTCCTTACTCATTTGTCTGTCTGTGGATACTGAGGTTGCTTCTGCATCTCGGGTGTTGTAAACAGTACTGCTGGTGCTAGTGGTAAAGAAACCGGCTGACAGTGCAGAAGGTGTAAGAGATGCAGGTTCAGTCCCTGGGTCAGGAGGATCCCCTGGAAAAGGAAATGGCAACTCACTCTAGTATTCTTGCCTGGGAAATCCCATGGACAGAAAAGCCTGGCGAGCTATGGCCCATAGGGTCACAAAGAGTCAGAAATGACTGAAGCGACTTAGCACAGTGAACATTGGGGTGCATGTATCTTTTTGAATTTTAGTTTGTTGGGGAAAAGGAACCCTCCTACACTACTGGTGGTTGGAGAAGGAAATAGCAACCCACTCCAGTATTCTTGCCTGGAAAACCCATGGACAGAGGAGCTTGGAAGGCTACAGTCCATAGGGTTGTAGAGAGTCAGACATTACTGAGTGCACACAGCAGCACACACTACTAGTGGGAATGTAAATTGGTGCAGCAGCTATGGAAAATAGTATAGGTGTCCCTTAAAGAACCAAAAATAAAGTTACTGTAAGATTCAGTGTTTCCACTCCTGGGCATATATTTGGAGAAAATTATAATTTGAAAACTCTTTTCCCATGGTGTTGCTTTTAAAAGCATCAAGATTAAAGCTATATATTTAAATTTAGTTATTAACTTGATGGGAAACTAAGGTCAAATTAAAGCAAATATTTCATATCACCTACCATGACTTATATATCATTTGCAAAGTATAATTACTGAATTCATTCTGATTTTTAAAAACATTTTATTTTGTATTAAGGTATACAAATTAAGCCAGCTAACAATGTTGTGATAGTTTCAGATTAACAGCTAAAGGATTCAGCCATACATATATATGAATCCATTCTCGCTCAAATTCCCCTCCCATCTAGGCTGCCACATAACATTGAACAGAGTTCCATGTGCTTTAGAGTAGTTCCTTGTTGGTTATCCATTTCAAATAGAAGTGTGTAATGTGTTTATCCTAAAATCTCACATCCTTCTCCCCCTCACCCCCTTGCAACTGTAACTTCATCCTCTAAGTCTGTGAGTCTCTCTTTTTGTTTTGTAGTAAGTTGATTTGTATAATACCTTTTTAGATCCCAGTTTCATACTGAGTGAAGCAAGTGAATATATTCTGTTTTATTTAGAACTTTACTTAGCTATCTATTCTATATGGGTTAACATTTATATTTCTTCCTATTCCATTTCTTCCATTTTCAGGTCTGGTCTTGAACAGGTTGAGATAAAATTCTATTTTAAAAATAACAAATTATATTATTATGATTAATATTTTGAAATATTAAAAAATGTAATGTGATAATATAGTATGGAAATTATCCCAGAACATGAATGTCATAGATTTAATTACATAAAGAGAAGGTCTCCAGTGCCTGATTGAGATTTTTTTTTTTTATCCCAAACATTGTTTAGGTTTAATGGCCATTCTTTGATGTTTTGAAGGCTTCATTTATATATTTTTTTATTAATCCATTCATTTATTTCTTAAGTGAGCATTTGATTGATTCCTACTGTATGCCATTGAATACTGTCTTTATTTCCTATTTCTATATAATGATTGCAAAGTAATAATTGAGAAGGAATAAAGGAGAATATCAACATAAACTGCCTTTTTTGAAGGGTTTTTGTCCAAACTTGTAGCATAAAGTCTTGCCTAAAGTACCAAATATAAAAGCATAACAACTTTAAACATTGTTTTTTTATTTGGGAAAACATACACCTCCACTGTTTGCACATGTAGTTGTCCTATCCACTGAAACTAGTAGTAATTTCTGGAAATTGCCAAGCACTTAAAAAAAAACAACTCTCCATGTTGTTCACAAAAGTCTTGTATCACTGTAGTAGAGTTATGGCCTAAGGTATATATCTTTTTAGGAAGCCCAGGTGGCACAGTGGTAAAGAATCCGCCTGCCATTGCAGGAGACACAATGCAGGTTCAATCCCTGGTTCGGGAAGACCCTCTGGAGTAGGAAATGGCAACTCACTCCTGTATTCTTGGGCTTACATGGTGACTCAGCTGGTAAAGAATCTGCCTGCAGTGCAGGAGACCTTGGTTTGATCCCTGGGTTGGGAGCGTCCCCTGGAGAAGGGAAAGGCTACCCACTCCATTATTCCGGCCTGGAGAATTCCACGGACTGTATATAGTCCATGGGGTCGCAAAGAGTCAGACGCAACTGAGCGCCTTTCACTTCACTTCACTTCATATATATCTTTTAATTGCAATGTTTTACTTACATTGGTGATCAAATGTAGGAATTTTAACTCTGAGCTATTGTCCTAATGTTTCCTGTATGATTTTACATTGTATCAGTGCTTTTTGAAGATGTGTTCTCATTTCTGGTTCTTATTTACTGAATAGAATTGACTACAGTAGATGTGTGTGCATATATGCTCAGTCACTTCAGTCGGGTCTGACCCTTTGCAATGCTATGGACTGTAGCCCACCAGGCTCCTCTGTCCATGCAAGGAGCAATATTCTCCAGGAGAGAATATTGGAGTGGGCTGCCATGCCCTCCTCCAGGGGATCTTCCTAATACGGGGATGGAAATCGAGGTCTGCCTGCATCTCCTGCATTGCAGGCGGATTCTTTACCCACTGAGCCACCTGGGAAGCCCTACAGTAGACAAGTGTGCAAAACGCAAGAAAGAAATTGGACTAAATGTGAATACAGTTAAAAGGACAAGTTTTATTATTCTTCCAGGATACCAAGATCAGTTGAGATGAACATAATCAATTCTCGTATATGAATCCTGAGAATATTGTGCTTATAGACCAAACACACAAAAAGAGTCAGCTGTTGGTAAAACACAAGTGAAAGTACTTAAACGCTCATGTGTTCATTGTCTGCAGGAGAGCTGGAGGTGTTTCAGAAAGATGGAGAGCGAAAAATTCAGAGTCGGCAGCAACTTCCAGTGGGAACTACCTGGGGACCATTCGCTGGGAAAATGGACTTGAATAATAATTCCTTGGTATGTGGATGTTCTGAGATGGTTGACTCTTAATATTTTGTCATAGTACAGAAATTATCTCTGCTTGCTTCCTGGTGAAAACACTAAAAGTAATAGTTTGCTTTTTCTTTTTCATGGACCGTAAAACTGGATTATTTTCCAAGTGGTTTGTCTCTGACAGTATTATATGCAGAATTTAGAAGGAAACAGGTTAATCACACTGAACGGTTATTTAGTAAGGTAATTTATAAGGTTGCTTTATCTTCATAGCCAGACTAATATTGTTCATATTTAATAATATATACAAATGCTTTTCTTCTTAAGATGACACAAATTGTCATACATTATGAGTTTACATGATGAACAAGAAATAAACAACCTTGATATTGCTTGGCAATTCTATTTGTACTTTTAAGAGTGAGGATAAGTGATCAGCATCATAATTTTTCTTGCTAACTTTTTTGTAAATATTCTGAGCTTAGAAAGTCTACCTCTGGGAAAAATTATATGAACGACTGATTAGCCATCTTAAGAAGTTATGGAAAAATGGAATATTTGATTACATTTAAATTTCATTTCTTAATTCAATATGTTAGTTTCCTATTGCAGCTCCAGCAAGTTACCACAAACTTTGTGGTTTAAAACAACCCAAGTCCATCATATTGTAGTCGGAAATGAATCTCTCAGGGCTAAAATCAAAGTGTCTGCAGGGCTTTTTTTGCTGAAGCTTCTAGAAGGTGGGGACAGATTTTTTTTTTTTTTTTTTGCTTTTCCGTCTTCTAAAGGCTGTCCAGAACCCATGGCTCACGGCTGCCTTCCATCTTCACAACCAGCAATGGCTGACTGAGTCTTTTACATACTTTATTCTGACTCTGACTCTTCTGTATCCCCTTTCCACATTCGGGAACGCGTGTGATTACATTGGGCCCACCTGAGTAATCCAGGATACTCTAGCAACTCTAACTCCATCTGCTTTAATTTCCTTTTGCCTAGTAAGGTAGCATGCACAAGGTCCAGGAATCAGGACACTAGGACCTCTCCTATTATGCGTGATGATACAAGTGACAAAACTTGGGGATAAAAATATTTTGTATTCTTTAGGAGATCCAGAAATTGTATATATATGAAATGGAAGTCCCTCTCTCTAAATGCCATTTATGTAGGAAGAGTTTCATGCCTGCTAAATGACTCTATCTGCATTGAGGTGGTGGGGGTGGGGGCGTAAGAACTCCCAGAGGGGTTTTAACAAGTGCACTTGACTCAGCAATGTGGCTTTCCTTTTTCAGTTGATTACATGAAAGAAATCACTTCTTCGGGTTATTACATGAAAGAAACTAATATGTGCAGATCTCTGCTTATTTAGTGCCATGTGATTGAGAAAGAGGTTATTGATTTAACTAAAAGTAATGACTGGAATAAATAAGAAACATTTGTGTCATCCAACTTTTAAACAGCATAAGAGATCCTAGAAGTGTGCTTTTTACTTTCTAAATCCTTGTGTTTATCCATAAAAGGATAAAGTAGGGGACTTCACATGTATTTGAGAACCAAACAAGCTGACAGACCAGGCTTAATATTTAATGATCTGGGGCAGTGTAATGTGTGGTGGTCCAGTGTACCTGCTGCAGAAGGAAGTGGCTCCGCAAACACTGCTGACCTTAGTGGTTGAGTTGTATAGTGGACTGTTCTATTGATTCCTTTGATAGCGTGATACTAGCTATTATACTGCTTAATCAAGCAAAGGCAAAGGGAAGATTGTCTCAGTATCAAAGGTTGAATTAAATCCTTTTTCAAAACCCATTTTATCTGGGCGTTTCTATTGGTACTCTAGCATTGCTTTCAAAATGTTTTAGGCAATAAGATATTTATCTTATTTATCACTGTGTATCAGACACCAACACAAACTTTAGTCATTTGTCTGCTATTTCTTTAAAAGTGTAATGCCACTTAGGTGTCAGCTATTGTTGATATAAGAAACACATGTTCTCCTTTTTATTTTATCAGCATAATATCTCTATGAAAATGTAATTTTTAATTAATCTTTATATCATGATATATATGTAGAATGATGCTTTTTATACATCTTTAGCATATGCTAAATTATGATGTATAGAAAGTAAACTTATCTGTGGAAGTTTAATTTTTCAGTGAAATAACTTCCTGTTTTTTAGACATGATATAATTTTTTTTCACATTTCTGTACCATTCTAAAGCTATCTTATGCCATACTTAATATCATTTAAATAATTCAGTTATAGGTGTGACATTTTGGTATTTTTGGTACCATTTGAAGTGAATGGATACTGTTTAGGGTATCAAAAACCCAGTTATGGTGAATCATTATTTAATAGAAAATAATCTTAATAACCTAGTTTTCTTCTTTTGTCTTAGAATTTAAACATCTGATTCATGTTACTTCCCTAAACTATAGAATTTTTCTCTATTTTAAAATGTACTGCTTTGCTAAAATATACTTTAAAAAAAAGGTTTTTTTGATAATAGTATTTTCTTCCCAGAATTTACTTTTGATTTTATGTTATTAAATAATACTACTAGTCATACTCTTGGTGCTACTGTTACTTCTATAGAATAATTGTCTAAGTTACACTGTGTACTTATTCTTTTCTAGACACTATATGGAGAATTAGAAATGTATTAGCTCCTTTACTCCTCAAAACAAACCTCTGAAGTTGGTCCTATTTAAAATCTTATTTATAGATAAGGAAATTAAGGCTCAGGCCTTTTTATTCCAGAATCTATGTTTTTAAATACCAGATCACACTCCTTCCCAATAGTATCTGTAACATGATCTGAGTATGATAAAATTATTATGGATTTCTTTACATGAATCCTAAATTTATTAAAAGGTTTGGAAGAAAATATGCAGTGATTACAAGCAGGTTCTTTTTTCTTACTTTGGGCAAAATACTTGTTGTAATACTTCATAACTATCATGACTAAAGAATTAGATGTTAATTCAAATAGTTCCACAATTTTATTACCTCTTTATAATTTTGACAATCATTTAATATAGGTTTTATATCATGAAGACAAATTTTCTTCATCATACAATATATAATCTATTAACCCTACCTTACCCTACCTTACCCAACCTGAAATCAAATTTGGAATTAACTCACTCTTTTAAATTGCTTATTCACCAACCAATGTTATGTTACTCTGTTCAAGCTCATGATGTTGTCTCAAGAGACCCAGTAAACTAATTAATCCAACACAGTAATTAATTGAGTCACCATGCCAGATGTCAAATCCTTTTTATATCTTTCAAGTTCCCATCTTGAATTGCATTAGCAATATGCCACCTTCTGCAGGAAGCCTTTGCAGACCAGGCATTTGGATATATATATATATATATAGAACATTACCAGAAATATAGGCTATATGGAAGCATCAAAAGAATTGATTTGACAAAACGCTCTTCTTGGAATCATATAACACAATGAACACAGAAATAAATAAAATTCTGTTCACACCTCATTATCTTGTTAGATAGTTTATGCTTAACAGCAGAATATAGTTAATATTTTCATTGGGCCAGGTAGGGTCAAAGTGCTTTACAGGTTTTATATCTCATTTACTTCTTGCATGAGCATATAAGAAGATAATATCCTTTTTTTCCTCCTTTGTTTCACAGGAGGAAACTGCTACTTTGGGAAGCTGAATGACTAGACCAAGGTCAACTCAATCTGAGTTGAGACCCCCATGTTGCAATCTAACACCATCTTTAGAAATTGTATATATAAGGATAATATTGCTACCTAGCTTGTCAGGGTTTTGCAAAGATTAAATGAGGTAGCATACATGAATTATCAAGAAATACTGATATTATTACTACTCAGTCACCTGTAAAAATGGGTCCATTAAAATCTTTCAAGTTTAAAACTGAAAAGACACACCAAATTAAATAAGTAAAACTATAGACTTTTGGCACTTGGGGATTTTACATGCCTAAATTTGACTATTTTCCAAGGAGACTGTTTTAGTCCAGGGTCTCCAGCAAAACAGAATAGGGTATGTGATGTGTGTGTGTTTATATATTTTATAAGGACTTGTCTCACATGATCATGGAGTTGGCTTGATGAAAATCTGCAGTGTGAGTCAGCAGGTTGGAGCCCCAGCAGAGCTGATGGTATAGATGAAGTTTGTTATTTGGGGAGGCTAGTCTTTTTGTCCTATCCAGGCTTTCTTCTGATTGGTTGAGACCCACCCACATTATGGAGGGCAGTCTGTTTTACTCAGAGTTCCCTGATTCAAATGTCAGTCTCAACAAAAACACCATCCAAGTTGATACACAAAATTAACCATCACAGTTTCCGAAGGTCTGTGGTATATTGTAAGTTTTAGTTTTTTCAGTTAGTCTTCCACTCCTGTATGAATTGTTAACCAGTAAGGGAGCCTAGCTTTCTTTCCAACTTCCTACTTCTGTGTCAAGAAATAATTTACATTAAGTGCTATCACAGTGACCCAAATTTCATGTTTTTGTAAGTCTTACAATTTTATTCATTGAAAATATCAAAGGACCATTGACAAGGAAGGAATTTTAAAAATCAGTTTAAATTGTGATCAATATCTGTTTTGGAGGTGTTTTAGAATTTCTGTATTTATATATTGTGCCTTTGAAGTTCCCCCATTTTTTCCTGAAGACATAGATCTTTGTAATATGCTAAATCTCTGCTCTGCTAGCCCATGGTAAGTGCTTAATAATTATCAGACAACACTGATTATTTGGAAGGTTGATGTCTACAATATTAGTGACATTTGCTCTCCCTCTCTCTTTTGAGTGAATCAGCTTTCAGTAGGTAACTAGTCTTATTCAGCCACCTGCCTGCTGGAATCATGCAACATGCATACTTAATTAAACAGAACATAAATAGTTAAATTCAGCAAATGAAATTTGACATAGAAATTTCATTTGATTGATGTCATTCAGTCAGAAGGGAGCCTTGTTTTATTTTACCGTGTGGTTGTGATACTGAATTCTACTAACAGAAAATGTATTT